TGCATTATCTGCCCCAGAACCCTAACATTTAGTGTTCCTATGCTGTTTTTGTTTTATTTTGTTTTGTTTTGTTTTTTGTTTTTGTTTTGTTTGTTTTGTTTTTTGCTTTTGGATCTGCCCCCAGCTCTGAATCCTCTTTTTCTCTCAAGCCTGCAGTGCCTATGACTCAATGGCTATGAAATAGTAATAGGTAACACTCCTACATTTTTTTCTATGTGGCAGTTTTAAATCTAACACTTTAGTTATGGTAGCTCACTTAATTCCAACAGTTATATCAGGTATATGGAATTATTGTCCTATTTTACAGGTGAGAAAACTGAGGCACAGAAAAATTATATATTGTCCAGGGTTGCATAATTAAACAAATTTTGGAGTTGAGACTAGATCACAGAAATCATCACTATCTTCATCATACCCTATCCTACCTCTCTATAAGTGAGTGATACATGTATGAAAGTGGGTAAAAGAGGTAACATCCTGTTACCAGCTTCATAGTTGAATTCCTATTAGTTGCATATAAGGCTTTGGAAAAAATAAATAGTTTATAGCATATATACTGGAGTAGCTAATGGAATTGAAGGTCAGTTAAAAACAGAGACATAAGACTCCTCTGGGACTATGCTAGTAGGATTCAGAGACCTCTTCTCTCTTGAGTGCAAGTGACTCAACTCCAGTGACATCAGGTCAAATTGGTTCTCCATTGAATTTTATTTATTTATTTATTTATTTATTTTTTAGTAGAGATTTTTTTTTTTTAAATTAAAGTTAGTTAATATATAGTGTAGTATTGCTTCAGGAGTAGAATTTAGTAATTCATCACTTACGTATAACACCCAGTGCTCCTCCCAACAAGTGTCTTTTTTAATGCCCATCACCCATCTAGCCCATTCCCCACCCACCTCCCCTCCAGCAACCCTCAGTTTGTTCTCTATAGTTGAAAGAGTCTCTTATGGCTTGCCTCCCTCTCTGGTTTTTTATTTATGTATTTATTTATTTATTTATTTGTGAAAGAGAGAGCATGGGGGGAGGGGCAGAGAGAATCTTCAGCAGGCTCCATTGGGAGCCAGGCAGCCACCTTCGTCTGTATTCTCTCAATATGTACTGTACCTTTCTATGATTTATGTGATAATGTGTTGGAATTTGAACAGAAATAAAATAGCTTAGTTAAACTACATATACATTAAGACTAATTGCTTCTCTGTTTACCCACCTCTTCTTAATTTTACCTCTCTTGTCTTTACATCTGCTTCTAGTTACATATTTAAGATAAATTAGATACATGTAATATTGTTACTGAAACACCCAAGTTCAGTTTGTCATCACTGAAAAAGCCAATAATCAAGAGACAAGTTTTGATTGGAAAGGAATATGAAGTTTATTCAGGAGGCCAGCCGCCTGGGGAGAAGGTGGACTCTTGTCTAAAAACCAACTCCGAGGCGCCTGGGTGGCTCAGTCGTTAAGCGGCTGCCTTGAGCTCAGATCATGATCCCAGGTTCCTGGGATGGAGCCCCCGCATCGGGCTCCCTGCTCAGCGGGAAGCTTGCTTCTCCCTCTCCCACTCCTTCTGCTTGTGTTCCCTCTCTTGCTGTGTCTCTCTCTGTCAAATAAATAAATAGAATCTTAAAAAAAAAATAAAAATAAAACCAACCAAGGTTTCTGCTTGGCCCAAATATTTTTTTTTTGAATTTATTTATTGAGAGAGATAATAATACAGAGAGAGCATGAGAGGGGGGAGAGTCAGAGGGAGAAGCAGACTCCCTGCTGAGCAGGGAGCCTGATGTGGGGCTCCATCCCAGGACTCCAGGATCACGACCTGAGCTGAAGGCAGTTGCTTAAACAACTGAGCCACCCAGGCGCCCTTGGCCCAAAGATTTTTTTTTTTTTTTATTCTTATGTTAATCCCCATACATTACATCATTAGTTCTAGATGAAGTGTTCCATGATTCATTGTTCGTGCACAACACCCAGTGCTCCATGCAGAACGTGCCCTCCTCAATACCCACCACCAGGCCAACCCATCCTCCCACCCCCCTCCCCTCTAGAACCCTCAGTTTGTTTTTCAGAGTCCATCTTCTCTCATGGTTCGTCCACCCCTCCGATTTCCCCCGCTTCATTCCTCCCCTCCCGCTACCTTCTTCTTCTTCTTTCTTTTTCTTAACATATCTTGCATTATTTGTCTCAGAGGTACAGATCTGAGACTCAACAGTCCTGCACAATTCACAGCGCTTACCAGAGCACGTACCCTCCCCAGTGTCTATCACCTAGTCACCCCATCCCTCCCACCCCCCCCCACTCCAACAACACTCAGTTTGTTTCCTGCAATTAAGAATTCCTCATATCAGTGAGATCATATGATACATGTCTTTCTCTGTTTGACTTATTTCACTCAACATAATACCCTCTAGTTCCCAAAGATTTTTAAAGTAACTTTAGGGCAGGTAATCAGTAAAAGGGGAGCATCTTGGTCTATAACACTTCTTCATTGCAGTGGCCAGCTACACATTATTGTAGTGCTTGGAAGGTGTATATTGGTCCCCGGGGGGTGGGGAGGAGGAGGTAATGCAAGAGGATTTGATTCTGAGTCTTTCTAGGAAACAGTGCATGATCTACAGATATACAAAGAATGGTTTAGTTATGAGGGCTAGAGGTGCTTGCTAAAACTTAGAAGACTACTAAGTTGGCTGGAAGGGCCAAGGCAGCAGCTTCAATATTGACAAAAATAATTTGTTTTTATGGTTAACTATTGTATTAACTGAACTTCCAGGTTCTGTAAAGGATATATGCAGTGTGACTTTTATTTAAAATTATAAAGTAAATTAGGAAAACAAACTGATTCCCTTTGCTTATAATTTTCACAATGGTGTTGTTTGTCCCCAAGGCTAGAAGTGCACTCACATATTAAGGAAGGGAAATATTCCCTTTTATTTATTTATTTTTTTCACCATACATTACATCATTAGTTTTTGATGTAGTGTTCCATGATTCATTGTTTGTGTATAACACCCAGTGCTCCATGCAGTATGTGCAATTTTCTTATGTTCAACAAAACTTACATATTTTCACACAATAGAAACTTAAGTCATCATCTTTTACCCCAGTATGTGTTTAATACCCATCACCAGGCTAACCCATCCCCCCACGCCCCTCCCCTCTAGAACCCTCAGTTTGTTTCTCAGAGTCCATCGTCTCTCATGGTTTGTCTCCTCCTCTGATTTTCCCCCTTCATTCTTCCCTTCCTGCTATCTTCTTCTTCTTCTTCTTTTTTTTTTAACATATAATGTATTATTTGTTTCAGAGGTACAGGTCTGTGATTCAACAGTCTTACACAATTCACAGCGCTCACCATAGCACATACCCTCCCCCAATGTCTATCACCCAGCCACCCCATCCCTCCCACCCCCCACCACTCCAGCAACCCTCAGTTTGTTTCCTGAGATTAAGAATTCCCTTTTAAAAAGCAAGTTTAAAGGTAAGTACATGCTACTTTAAGTGCTCAGGAATTTTATGCATTTGCTAATGATTGTAAAGAGATGTGCAATAGATCATTTCCAGGGTTGAAGGTTTGCCCTTTTACATTGATGAAAAGTTACAGAGGCATCATACTAATGTCACAAGTAATGGAAATCATTTCTAAGCTTGGGGAGGTCAAATGTGGTTTGTAGTAAGTAAACTGCATTTGCTGAATCAAGCTTTTCAATCTAATTAGTTTAAAGGCTCTGTGTATACCTTATGACTTTTGGAACAGTTATCCATTTGAAAAGATTTTTGCCCCCTAGACCTCTATGAACTCTTTTCAGTATATGACAAATTTAATATATAAAAATCTTTCCAGACTCACTTTTTTTTTTTAATTAAAGTTTTGGTCAAAAGATAGTACCTAGATTGGGAAGACTATAGATAACCTGAGAAAGCAGCCTGAATTTTGAAGATACCAATATGTTTTAAAATTTATTATCTAATGAGCAAAATAAAGATAAGATCATGGATCAGGCAACAGTAAATAGGTATAAAAATCTTTGTTTCCAGGCTCTATGAGCTTTGGAATTTCTGTTCTGCCAAATCAAATTGACCAAAGTTAAACTGCCAAGAACAAATAACATAGATAAGCCATCAGAGATGTCATTTACCTTTTTTTCTCCCAGAATATAAACTTATCTCAAAACTTTGAACCAAGGCACATAAAGAGTTATCCTAGAAGGACCATGAAGTTACAATTTTATACTGGGCAGAATTATATGAAAATTCTTTGAGCTTGCAAGTTTGAGTATTTCAGGAAAACTGCTTAGAACTCTTGACAATGCTCAAAATACAGAGATTTGTGGTAGAAAATCCCGGTATTTGCCATAGTGTCATCAGGTGTCCACATAAAGAAAGTATATCATTATGTTTCCTTGAAAGTGTGTGTATGTGCTCCACATGTGTGACTTACTTTTCTACCAGAGAAAGGAACCCAAACATCAGCTCTTGTTATTAGTTAGCACTCCCTACATGCATCCTTCCAAAACTTTTCTTCTTGCCATATCTGCTATCTTGGTGGATGATTCTGCCAACCATAATGTAACCCAATTAGAAAGTCTGAATTATTTATTTTTTCTCAAAGACAACTAAATAAAACTCAGCAACTGGAAGGTCTTCACCTTTTGGCTATAATGGAGCAATTTCAAATAGACTAATCCTCCTGAAAACAATATTTTTGAAATCTGGACAAAATATAAAATCAACTGATGAAACATCAGAGAACAACCAACGCAGTAGAACTAAGGAGCTAAGGTTCCAAGATAAGGGATAGAACTTTGAGGTAAGGCTCATATTTGCCTCCATTTTGCTCCTGAAACATATGCTTATTTCTGCTGCAGACAAAATAAGCTAAAAGTCATAAATTCTGAAACTTGCCACAGTTTAACTGTACAAAGCAGCCAGAATTCAAAGTGTCAGTAACCCAGAGAGAGAGAAATTGGAGAAAAGTAAACCTGACACTTCTCTCACAATTTTTCTTCAAGGCCAACTTCTCAGTGCTTGTGTAAGGACAAGACTCAAAGAAGCAAGAAGAAAGCAGTTGCTGAGAAGCTAAAGAATTAAGCAGAGACTTCAGTGGTCATGAGATGTTGAAGAGACAAAGGTTCCATGTTAACAAATGGAGCAAGTCCTCTAGATTCTCAGTTATCTCTCTGAATACCTCTGGAGACATCCTATGCAGCTATGGTAAGTCATTGCAACCAAGGAAGGACAGAGTTCCCTGCTTATTAGCAATATGGAAATATGGTAGTTACTGTCTATTCTCAAACCAACGATTTCAATTTCCATTAACTCTGCAGACTTCTAAAAACCTTCTAATTCTGTTCTCCATCTTTTTAAAACTCAGCCATAATTTTGTTCTTCCTATTGTGGAATCAGAAGAGCCAATGAAAAATTGGATGTTGGGCCAAAGACCCTCAGGCAAATCTGGGTAATTTTTTATTCTTTATTTAACCAAGATGGGGTTATAAAGTGGCAAAACTACTATTTGCATTTTGGGAGGAGAATCTGGCAACTTTGTTCTCTGTGGTGGAAAAAAACAAATACATTATCACCTACAACAGAGCGTACTTGGAAGATAAGTCTCTCTGATAACACATAGCTTCTATAGACAATATTATGAAGGCTGTGGAGAATTCAGGAATTGCAGCTGGAGTGGTATCATTGATAATTCTGAATGGACTAAAGAAAAGCATTGATAAGCTCAAATTCCTATATTTGTGCAGTACACACAGACTGAAAATCAGGTTCTTTTACGGATTATGCTTAAGGAGTCTTTGTTATCTTTGAGTCACAGTACAAAGATGCTGGAAATCCAAAGTTAATGTTGGGGGGAAAAGGATGAGTTTATTTTCAGTTTTATGAAGGATAATTTTACTTTGTCAACTTGGAGCACTTTTGAAAGAATGAGATATAAATGTGAATTCTGGGCAGCAAAGAGGAGAGTATAGTGAATCTTTGTAATTTCTGATTTCTCTGCATTTCTATTTCCTTTGTAATATCACCTTAATTTTCTGTTTGGGGATATTACCCACCCCCCAATAGTGTATAGTTTTGGTGGAAAGGTACTTCCTATATGATGTATGGGAAGATGAAGGAGACAGATCCTCCCTCTGCTACTCTATTACTGCCGTGGGGGAGGCTGCAAGACCTACATTTGGCCAGTCAGAATCTCTATTCTCAGACTTTAGCCTTGGAGTGAGTGGAGTGAGTGAATGGATGAAGGGAATCATTGGAGGTCATGTACTGAACTATGGTAGGGGAGAATGGTGTCCTCAGTGGACCATTCTGCAAATGTCCAGATTCTGTCTTTCTGACGTCTCAAACCTCATGCTGTCATTTTTTTTTGTTTGTTTCTGCTTCCATTATTGGTGGTCCTTCAGCTCCAGTTAAATCAGAGAGGATCCAAATGTCTTTTATTAAATTTTTTTTTACTTAATTAGGCAGAAGTAACTGAAGTAATACTGCTTGTTCTTGTATCCAAGAACTCTAATTGATGCTAATTGATGATATATTTCATGGGAAATGAAGGAAAATCATGTGAAATAATTCACATAAAGTCTTAACATAATACCTGATATATAAAAAGTATTGATTAAATGTGTGTTATCAATTTTTATAATCAATAGAATAAGAAAATAACAATTGGAATTTTCTTATGTTCAACAAAACTTACATATTTTCACACAATAGAAACTTAAGTCATCATCTTTTACCCCAGTTAGAGTTCCAAGGTGTATGTACTTAGTTCAAGAAGTCTGACTTGATTAAGTCCTTCAGTGCCTTATCCACTGTCCAATAAACTCTTTAAAAATTGTCACTGGACCAGAAGGATATGGGTCTAAAAGTTTGTAGGACTGTGAGAGACTATAATCTATCCTTAAGTAACTAACAACTGCATATCCTGATGGAACCATTCTCAGTCAGCCACTCTGCTGAGAATAACATTTGTCTCCATCATTCTAGGCTAAAGCTAAAAGGCAAATATGGTGGATTAACTTGCTTTTTTGTAAACCACATGAACTCTGAGTCAGTTAGAAACCCTTTGAAGATAGTTTGGGTTCCTCTTTTGCTCATGAATGCATTTTCTCTTTAGATATGTCTTCACATGCCAGAAACAAGGTTGAGAAGTTCTGACTGATTATTTCCCACTGTCCTTAGAAGAGAGGGACTTTCCAACACAATATCTAGTTTAGTCTATTATAGAAAATACTGTGCCCATTTTGATTAAATGTTATTTTACAATTTTTAAATAGTATTTCCAATGCATGTTTTATTTTCCATGAATGAGATTATAATTTTCTAAAAGGGGGGGAATATCATTGTGTTGTTAGATGACAACTAACTATTTTTCTATCTTCCAAAGAATTTATAGTTTTACAACTAAAGCCAAAGTTCTCAATGTCTTTTCTGGGCCCAGCCAAGTCTTTATCTTTCTGCTAAAAGAGCGTAATCATACGACTGCTGAGTAGAATATAGGTATAGACAAAAAAATGGGCTTAGGAAATACATCATAGTTTCTCAACTGAGCCATTTGGTATACTAATATGAGACATCTATATAAACCAATCCTTATAAGTAATAAGTACAAAATATAGTCATGTACTAATTGTTACTAAAAACAAAAGAAAGTAATCAGTTCTTCCTGGGAGGGGGTTTGAAGGAAAAACGTTTCCAGAGTTGAGGTCTCAGTTGCATCTTGATAATTAGTAAGTGATTGCTTAGACAAGGGCATTTCCAGTCTTTAAAAACTGCATTATTAAATGGTGTAAGGTCATAAAACTGAATAGATTGCTCAGAAATTGAACTAGCCAAGTGTGGCTAAAGTGATCAGAGTTTGATGTTGGGGCAGGGTGTGATGGGGATAAAGATGGTGAAATAAGTTGAGAGGACTCTGAAGGCATGGTAGAGAATTTAAGCTTGTTTTACAGGTGGAGTTGTATGCTGGAAGTAGAGCTGTTCTCATTGTATTCTAGAATTGCATAATGAGGCAGCCCTGCTTCAAAGATACTGAAAACCTACTCAAGAGGATTAAAACAGGAATGACACAATCCAGTTTGTATCTTAGAAAGATGACTCTGGCAAGAAAATGGATAAGGGGGTTAAACAGTGCTGTCTAATAAAAATAGAATATAATCCACCTATATACTTAAATTTTTTAAGTAGAAATAAACAGATAAAGTTAATGTTTTATTTAACCCAATTTACCCCAAATGTTATGATTTTAATATGTAATCAATATAAACAGTATTAATGTGATATTTTATATTTTCCTTTCCATATTATGTCATCAAAATCTGGTGTGTGTATTTTACACGTATAACATATTTGAATTCAGACTAGCCATGAAATTTCAAGTGCTCAATAGTCACATGTGGTTAGTGGCTTCCATATTGGATAATGAAGGAAAATGATTAGACATGGAGATGAATGGATCAATTTTTTAATGGAAGAGATGGCTATGAGGATTAAAACTAGTGTGATAGCAATGAAAACGGTGAGAGGAAAACCCAGGGATATTTAGAAAATGGAATCAACAGAACATGGTAATGGATTGACTGTTGTAGGTGAAGGAGTAGAAAAAAATAAAACATCTGCAGTTTTACTTTGGATGACTGTTACAGAGGATTAGGTTTGGTAGAAAAGATGATGAGTTTGGATTCATGTATCAACTTGAAGACAATTTAGATATTCTCAAATAATATATGAATCACAGGAGCTAAGATTTTGGAGCTATTGATGTAAACGTTGACATTAATCCATATAAACAAATGAGGTCATTCATTAAAATAGAGAAGGAGAACTGGGATGGAACCCTCAGGAATACCAAAATATCTAATATTTAATGATATTCCATAAAGAGAAGAGCAAAAAATAGGGAGAGGGAAGTAATTATCTGAGATATAGGATAAGAAACTGAGAGAAAAGTACCTAAAGGAAGAGATTTTATAGAAGGAAATGGAGGATCAACAAGCATGAAAACTAAAAAGGGAAAATAAAGGTTGGTAATTATATCAATTGTTGTATTTTCAAAAATCACTTGCATACTTATGATTTCTACATTTGTATTTCCATAGAAAGTGAAAGAACTGGTATTACTGACTTTCTAGGGCATGTGCAGTGGTAAACTAATGCTCCAAATATCTTAACACATTTAATCTTCTCTACAAACTCAGGGAGGGCATTGTCAGTCACTTTAATGATGATGCTTATCACTAAGTCAAGTTACCTGGAAAGGTCACCCTACCATTAAATGGCAGAGCTGGGATGAAACCCAGTTCTGTTCTCAAAATCTTGTGTTTTTCCTCCTATATCATGTTGCATTTCCTCAATTCCTGCTGGGTCTTAGTCTCCCAGTTGCCCTTCTTTGCTACTAAAATCTTTTATATCTTGTTATCTGAAGAAATTCTGAGCAAGAGAAGCTGGGGGAAATAAGATTGCTGGAGAATGAAACCCTTAATATTGAGCAGAGCACCAAAGGTTAAGGAAAATACATCTCTCTAGAATCAAACATCACGGTTACTTTTTCTCTGCTCCTACATTTGGAATGCAGTATGCAAGGCTGCACTTTCTGGCTTCCTTGAGGTCACCATGGTCTGCTAGTGCTGTCCTCTTGAATAATGTATGTTTGGCACAGAAAATGACCTTATCTGCTGGTTAGCATCTTTTATATTGAAAAGTTTATAGCATTCAAGTCAAACTGAAGAGTTTTTTGTTAAACATTTACTTTTCATTTTTATTTACAAATGACATTTTAAATTCATGCATCATAATATGCAATTTTAATAGGAATTATGGAAATATCATCAGCACAAATCTATGTATCCTATGTATTGTTTGAATTTTTTTAATTGAAACAAGTAATTTAGTCTTAAATTTTTCAAAATGTGTGGGTAAATATTTAATGTGATGATAGATTTTGTTGTCCCTGCCCAAGAAAGATCAGGGCTCCTTGCCAGCTAAGGCCACATCTGGTGTAGGCTTCTGATATCAGGAAGTTAGAACATGTTTCAGTCATACTATTAATTTAATTTGAAGGTGGATCTTAAAGAGGATTTTGGGAAAAACAACCTGAACTATGTTAACAATCCTAACCAAACTTCTATTGTAAATTGCATAATTACAGATTTTATGGCTTTATGTTGCTGAAGAAAAGAAAGAGATAGTGGTATTCCACTTAAAACATGGAAAGATGCTGTATATTCCATCTCCAGACACCAAAGTCCAACCCCTCTTTTGTGCATATCCTTAAATGCCACACCTTCTTAAAACTGCCCCTTTTCTCTCCCATTAGATGTGATATTTTCCTATTCCTCTGAAGAATAAATAATGAGAAAATTTTGTAAAGTTCTGGCATTATTCATATTTAGCCTTTTATTGGAGGGATTGGTGTTCTTTTTCTTTCATGTGCTCTAATTGATT